GTGTTTACACCTTCCAATTTATACGCTCCACAAAACTATCCTATGACAAATCAACCAAAAACTGGAGTGTTTGCCACTGGAGTAACAATAGAAATTTTAATACACTCATTTTTGAGAACATAATAACAGGAAGCATTTATTAGATGTTTCGGGTTCGTCATAATTCCATCATCACTAATCTAGAGGTACAAATCAAACAAACAATATTTATAATTACAAATACTGTTTGTTTGTTTTGTACCTCTAAATTAGCGATGATGGAATTATGACAAATCCGAAACATCTAGGAATTATAAGTGGGCATTCCGACATGTCACCATTTTTTGTTTTAATCAAAATGTAAAAATAATAGAGGCATAAAAGTATGTTCACCAAGTATTGGAATGTTTACTAATTCATCAATTATATTCAGCTATACAAAAATGCCAGGAAAGCAAGACAGGTTGAAAAAATTAATACATAAATATTCCACACACCTAACATTTTAAATAAACATGATCAAGAAGTTTTCCAATAGATTTCACAACAGCTTTGTAGTTTCAAACTACTTTCTTCCAATAAGTCCATAAAACATCTAGTTTAGTGATTTCCAAAAGTTATAAACTAACAACAAGTGAAGAGCTGTGGCTACTTTACTATGGAAGAATCAAAAAATAAATCTTGGATATGATAAGCTTGGAAAGATGTAAGTATATGATATAGATTTATACATTTCTGAAAAAAAAAAAAAATCATATTCTTACATGAATTTAACATGTAATTTGGTAATGAAATGATAACTCTATTTCAGTTCATATAATTATGAAATGACAGCCAATTGTTGGTTACAAGATACTATTCTTATTTACCCTCAAGCAAATTTTGGAAAAAAATGCTACAAAAGGATCATACATAACACAACAAATATTTTTTAAATAAAAGGTATTTAATATTATTGTAAAACTTGTTCAAGCAATGGTGTTTGATATTTATCTAGAATACAGTGTGGTAAATCTTGAATGTTTATAATTTTACAGTAGTTCTAGCCATGATGGAATATGGCCAAAACACGTACTTTATACTTTGCTGTACTTAAATGTACAAAATCATAATAAAATTGTACTATCAGGTGACAACTGATGCATTCTGAAGGCTTCTCGAAGTAGCTGAAACAGGAAGTGTTTCAACAGAGGAAAGTGTTCTGTCTCCTTGGAAAGATCGAGAAGGGAGTATAGGTGACTGGCTCACAGATGAACTATAAAGAAAATATCTTTCACTTGCATATTGTTGTTGTTTTTTGTATAATTCTAGCAATTGTACATAAAATATTTTTACAACATGCTAAAAAAAACTAAAGCTGTGTGAAATTGGAAACATAACTAACAATAAAGTGTAGCATATTAAAAATATTTATTACCCAGGAGAACAAGGAGGATCCAACCAATGGACTGACACCTCTGCTGGAAGTCCACTCTGAGAATTAGTACTGATCTGTAAAGTAAGTTGCTAATTCAGCTAAATTACAGTGAACACGTAAAACCGTGAAAATCTTAATTAATCGTACGCAAAAGTAAATAGTCTTTCAAAAATCACAATTTTTTTCTCGACCCTCAACCAAGACTAAAAAGATTCTTACCTAATTTTCCACCACCCTCTTGTGTAGCTTAATGAACAAAGTCAATAAATATACAGTTCTGATGACAAGAAACCCACTTTTAAACAATAAAATTTGAAGACAGCTTGAATAAATGATGAAACTTTACTACCAGTTTAACAGATGTGCAACATTTCTAAAAGGTTCTGTTATCACTTGCACCTGATGATGATAAAACTTTGTATGTTTGGTAAACCTGTTATAAAGTTTTCCTCGGTGCCCACTCAAGCCACCTCAAAACATAAATATACAGTTTCTTTTCCCCATCCTCCCCTCTCCTTCTTTGCTTTTCTTTCTTCATTTTTCTTCTATGTTTACTTCCCATTATTTATCCTTTCCTATTTCTCCATGACCTAAATTCTGAATTTCGAAATTCTCAAAATTATTCCTGTACTATTTAGGTACTTATTTACATGAACATAAACAAGACATAATTAAGCATGTTTTTCCTCATGCCCGTAATAATTTTAGTTACCTGACATGTTTCCTTAGTCTGATAATAAATAACCTTATGGGAGAGAGACCTCAGTATTCAGGTCACATTTGTCTAACAAAGAAATCCTAGCCCTGAACTTTATTCATATAAACAATATGTATATACTAAGAAATGTATACACTAAGGTGTTATATACTGAAGAGTAACAATATTACAATAAACATAAACTAATTTGACTACAGGGACAACAGTCGTCCAGTAGACAATTTTGAGTTTATTCGTCTATAGAATCACTTTTTGCAGGTTTTTTTTAAATAAGTAAACACATACTTTCCAATACAGTTAGAATAAGTTTATTATTAACTGAAATTACGAGAGAAAACCACAGTAAAGATGATAATATAAGCAGGAGTTTCTTTTCAGAAGTCATATGTAAATATTACCTCATTCTGATTATACCATACAACCTACTTCACCTGTTGTTGCTGTAGAATGGCAAAACACTGTTCTAGACACAAGAGAGTTGCTTGAGATGTAGCTTTCAGTAGAAGAAGATCCTACATAAATAAAAAGACATAATGTTAACGATATGTATTGGATATTATGTAAATCATGACTGTTAGCCGCACAGATTAATAGAAGAGTAATAGAAGAAATGATAATAATAGCAAAAAACCATCGTTAATAAAATTGAATTAGGTATACATGCACCCCATGCTTGGTATCACTGGTGCACAAAAATATATTTTATAAAAAGGAAAAAAAGGTCTCACAGATTAATATACTCTAATCCTGCCTAAAATAATTTCAGTACCATGGGCTATTGAGTATTCCTTCTTGTTTATTTAATTAGATAATGCACCAAGTAACACAGAATAATATTGTGCAAAAACAGACATTGTCCCATAACTCTCCCAGTTTTTCTGGCTTTATAACTATGCAACATGAGCTGTTAAAATTTTATCTTGTCGATGTGTTTCCCCTGGGAATCAAGTTTCAAATGAGAACAAAATTGACTTTTATCTTTACAGAAAACAATGTAATATGATTTGTCATTTGACAGATGAAAAACTTGGCTTTCTGTGGTTAGAAATAATACAATATTGAATGTCACATAGAACTATTGTCAATTTCTGAAAGAGAGGATGTAACAGGTGGGTGTGGCAAGAGGAGTTTGGTTGCCTATTTCATGACTCTATAACCAAATAAGATTGATGGCTGTAAAATTAATCTTTTGTCTGAGTGATGATGATATGATAATAAGTAATTTATGTTAAATTTTGTACTTCTTGGAGGGGTGGTAAATAAATTAAAGAGGGAATACCAAGAGAGCAAATGTCCCAATTCTCACACTATGGGAAATTCTATATTTATTTTTAATATTGCCTTATAAAAGTAAGAACTTAAAACTTGTATACTCTTAAGATATAGATTATAAGCTATGTTTCTGTGCTACATTTATTGGTATATCAGGGAAAAAAAAGTAGCTTAATTAAATTTTGAATGTCACTCACTAAAACCTCATGACCTGCGTAGAAAAAAAATAGCCCTGTAGACAATCAAAAAATGAAAAAAAAAAGACCTGGATCAAGAAATTAATTAAGTTGACAGACACATCTACAATATACTGAGAAACATATTTTAGTTACTTACTAAAAGTTTGTTACATAGTAGCACATAAATACATAAACATTAATACTGTGTAGCTGGACTGATGTTAATGTGTACATAAAAAAAATTATCACGGTAAAAAAATTAATCAACTGAAAACTCAAAATAAAATATATGGATAAACACTATTTTTCTTTTCCCCCAGGAAGTTAAACTTTCAGGCTAAATTACTATTATAACTGTTTGCAAGAAGGACATCAAAGGTTAAGTACATCAATATTGTACGAAACTAATAAATAGCTTAATTAATGACATAAAGTAAAACAGAATATTTTGAAATAAATAAAATTTGAATACTTGAGTTTGAATGCCTGGTTTTGCTTTTAAAAGAATACAATTTTATACTTGCTGGAATAGAAACATTAAAACAATGAAAGAAGAATTAAAACAATTAAAATGTCAACTTACTCGGTTATATGACTTTACACAAGTGCCTTTTATTGGTACTTCCTAAAGAATAAAGAATACTCCAGTTATTTTCAATGCTACAAATAAATTATACACTGCTCAATAATACAGTCAGTCTTTTTTCTCGTGTAGATATTAAAATCAAATACACCATGTGTATCATCATAAGAGTCTGCCAGATTATAGTTAAAATAATTCAAGTAGATTTAATACAATATATTTAGATAGGTATGAATATATGTACTAATAAGAAAAAACACACACAAACTTTAACTAAGCTAAGTGGACAATGAGGTTAACTACATGAATATGATAATAAAGTGAGTTAAAAGTAAACAAAAATTTTATAAATGATTTAGAAATATTAAGATTAACATTGTAGTCTCCACATATTGGTATGAAAAAAGGAAACCAAAACCACCCTTTGTTCAGTTAGTTACTACCTAGTATTAAATATACACAGTAACAAAAATATGTGCAATAGCTTTAATGATTACATATTCAAGTCCTCTGATGTTTACTTTTCAACTTTGGTGACAGTTCTCTTGTGTATCCTAAGTCATATTAGAAAACGTCTGACAAAAATTGAAATACTGTAGTTTGGAAAGACACAAGATAACTATTTCTCAAATTCAGAAATGCATTTAAGTCTCCATTTTCAACTTTCTGAATGAGCATTTCGTTTTTTCATCTGCTAACTACATAATTTACTAATAAACAACTGATTTGAAATTTTACAAATCCTCAAAGTACAACACATACACACAAACACATAAATCACAGAATTAAACTAATCAAATCATTAATTGACCACAGTTATATTAAAAGGATTATGGTGATATCGGTGTAAACCAACATAAAAATATTTTATCATTAAATTATATGAAATTAACAATGGAAAAACCAATATACCAGAAACAAATTTTACA